TGCTAAAAGTGCGCACTAAGAGAGGACACCATTTCTGAGCAGTAATCTTCGCGAGAAAATTTCGTTTAGGTATTTAGTAAACCGTTACGATACAACAACTTTAGAATATAACTTTAAAAAGCGAATAGTGACGTGCTTTTATGGAAAGCCTGATTTCTCCAATGTAGTTTAAACCCTTTCTCATGAAGTATGACATGCAGCACTTTATATTTTTGTAACATCTACACAAGAGCGTGTGTGGTGCAGTGGTTGGAGGCATCACCAGCGATACGCGCATGGAATCGATCCCCGTGCCTATGGCCCATCAAGCTTTCCATCTCTTCGGGGTCGGCAAATTGGTACCAGACCTACCTGTCTGGGAGGACGGCAACACTGGCTCGGTATATCGGGAGACCACCATAAGTCATCGTAAAGGCCAGATATGGATTCGATCACCTCCAGCAATGCTTAATAAAATCGAATGCATGGCGCATCCTTCGGGTATTGATCAAAGCCGAGAGCTTTATCCTTATTTTAACGTCTACACGTTCTTTCAATGAAAACGGTTGTGTTCCGGAAATTTTTGCAACGTGACCTGTTTTTCGAATAGAAAACTGCTCAATAAAGAAGCTATGAGAAAACCAATAGAACGCAAGAACTGCTCGGATCCGCACGATTGGATACAGGTAACGTCGTGTTACGGAATATTGGTGTTTATTTTAGGAAAAAAACTTTTACAGGTCTTTGAACTTCCTACGTGTGGATTCGGTTGCTGCTTGAAGATTGTCGACTTCGCTATAAGTGTCGTGGAATGCTAGTCGAGTCGATTATCTCTAGCGGCCTCGGGTTAGCGCGCTCCCACTTGGATTACAGAGAGTGGGATGTTCTCAAACAATTCTGGTACCACTTTCTCGACCCCGAAGGGATGAGAGGTTGGTGAACCTGAGGCGAGGTCGAACTAGCACCGTCCTCGTGATGATCGACATCAGTATCACTGTGATATCCGTCATTATTATTTATTATCATGTGATAATGAATAATAATTACAAACAAATGAACAAATTCTTAAACGCTCGTCCTTACGGATCACAAGAAATCTGGAACACCCCGGTGCAGCTTACACTTCAGTGGTAATTTGCGCAAGATTTTCATTCCTCGCAATCTGGAAAATTGCGCTAGAGATTCCACAAATCCTAGCTATTTTCAAGGTAACGAGTATGCGGTTGCCATAATAGTGATGGTATCCGACAGGTGCTTTCTGTTATCCAAACTTCCGCATGGAACCGCCTAACTCTTTTTTGGGAAAGAAGACCGTGCTGGGTGGCTGAATTTCGGTTGAACATGGTAATTCGACACCTAGGAACACTCTTCAGCCAGACTGGATAGTTGGTACTAAACAAATGAATGAATAGTCAAATATAATGCACAAATGCTTTTGTATATAGATGAGGGAAGTCTCTTCTTTGTAGTGTACTTCTACAGTCGTTTGCCGTATCATTATAGCCACAGGATCCACAGTGATGAGTTCATCCTTCGCCAAATCCCTAAAGGTAAAAGTGAGTTCGACGTTTTCACTCCGAAACTCGGTCAATAGTAGACCTATACCACGACATATCAGGTCACGCTAAAGTCAAAAATAAAAACAACATAGTCCTTGTGAGTACTGCCTCCACTGTCTAAGTTTTAATACGTACTATCTTAACAGTAAATTCCCATCCTTCGAAATGAGTCAGCTACTGAGTATAGTCATTCTAGCCATCTGACACTAATTTTCTACAGTTGGTAGGAGGAATTTAGAGAAGAGATTCTCTTCTTTTGCGAACAGAAAAGAAAATCACTTGGTATAAAAACAGTTACTTCCCACAGCATTAAACACTACGTTTCTAGCCTTTGTACTTCTTCCAATCTTTTTGTACTGAACAGGCATCTAATTCGGTAGGAATCATTTTTTAAGGTCCGCTTAACGTTGTGGAAAAGATGCCGTTCATAATACGTTTAATGCAGCTCGTTCGAACCCACCCCATGACATGACAACGTTTTGCTACTCGTGCGGGGTCGTGAAATTGGTAGCAGACTTGTCTGGGAAAAGTTCCCTTTAGTCCATAAATGTTGATGTCTGACAGTGTTGAAAATCTCGGAGCGCTCTAGAATAACTATGCTACTAGAATCAGTCCGATCGGCGTTCAAAAATATCCTTGAAAAGGACAAATTCGTCAAGCGGCTGCTGAACTCACAAACGGTGCTGAAGATCAACGTGATTGAGAAGGTATGACGGGGAAACGGATCGGAGAAAAGAAATGCCGACATGTCCCGCATTACATAGAATACTGGATTATGCAAGGACGCGCGTGGCGCAGTGGTTGGAGGCGCTGCTGCGGCACACACGTGGAATCGATCTCCGCGCCCAAGGCTCACCAAGCCTTCCACACCTCCGCGGTCGGTAAATTGGTACTAGATTTGTCTGGGAGGATAGCAGCACTGGCTCGATACATCAGTAGGCTACCACGAGTCATTGTAAAAGCCAGATATGCATTCAATCACCTCCAACGATACTTAATGAAGTCGAATGGCGCATCCCTCAGGAATTGATCAACGCCGAGAGCTTTATCCTTTTACCGCAAACGACAGCCTAAGCCAAAACCTTGATCTTAACCTGATGCAATCATTTTTATAGGAAGTTTTTCTATCACTGCGTACCTCAACAGCCTAAATATAGCAACTATTTTTAAAATATATCATTCTCAATATTGAAAGCTATTCATTTACGTTTAAACCCTTGACATTCTTACATGTATAATAGAAAAAACCTGAAAAGAATAAAAATATGGAGTCACATAAAGCGTAAAAAGACAAAGCACTTGGCGTTGATCAATACCTACAAACACGCCATGAATTTGACCTGATCTAGCACCGTTAGAGATGACTTAATGCATCTCTGGCCTATGTAAGGACTTGAGGAGGCCTACCGATGTATCAAGTTAGTGCTGCCATCTTCTCGGACTGGTCTGTCACCAATTGCCCGAACCCGGAAGGATGGAAGACTTGATGAACCGGGGTGCGGCACCGAACCAAAGACCACACGTGCATTACAGGGCACCTATAGCCGATATGTGCCTCGTGAGATCACATATCGCTAAAATTCACGTCATTTTAGCGATCAACATATATTTACCAATTATTAACTATCAACGCCTGAAATGTCACTTATTTAGTTAATTAATCTGCCAAGTCTATTTGATGTAGCTTGTGGATTTACAACGATAACGGTCCCATACCGCCCGTAGGGTCCCGCGATCTGCTCAAGGTCGAAGCGAGAACCATGGGCGGCCGGTGCGGCCGAGTTGGCGCAGACTGGCTTGGCGTCTGTTTTGAAGTCTGTAAAAACTGTTGTTGTCGATTACTAGTACCAAATTTGGGTCGTCTGTAAGTGCTTATAGTTCTTAATTCTTTGACTTAAGTTTTAATGGTGATGATTTTCCGATGTATTTTAGTCATGTTTTGTTCTATAATGAATTTCACCAAGGTGATGTTCTAGTTTGAAGTCGTACTTTGCATACTTACCTGAATGCTTCATTTTGCCATCTTAACGAGTCACGAATCATCCTGTGGGCTTCAGCACGATCGCCACATCATCACTGGTGTGCCGGTTGAGTAAGATTCTCTTTTTTTCTTTCCTCACTTTTTTCTTCTATGGAGTCTTGAAGGCAGTGTTATGGCTTCTCCAGGTCCTTGACCCTTGGTGGATGCTTTAAATTTATCATATAAACATTTAATGATAAATGCGACCACAACTACTCTAGAGACCCAGTTTGCAGGTTTTATCAACTACCTTGGTGTTAAATGGTCAATATTTCTTCGAAGTCCATCGGTATTTCTTACTATCCAGAACCTCTGCTTCACATCCCTTATGAAAATAGGGTGTATATTTTTGGGTTTAATCGGTGTTATTCTCCATACACTTTGAGAACTCGTCAGAATCTGTCGGTACACGCTGAACATGTCGGGCGGAATCCGTCCGTGTTGCCACATCGTACAACTTTGTTAGGAAATGTCTCTACTACAGTCACATCAGAATACATTTTGCCATATTTTAATGCTTTTGGGATCCCAGTGGAACGTTTTCTTTGTGATCGTGTTTGTTATTCAACGACATTATGATTTTACTAGTGGTCCTGATTGAATCTATGCCTTATACCAGTCATTTCTTTCTATCCGATCGTCTTTTTTCCATCTAATCAATTCTGAGCTGGTCTTGGTCAGATGATCAGCTTTACTGTACGAAGTAAAGCGTGGAATTGTCCATTAACTAAATTCGCACTTTACAATTGACATTCACACTCACCGCTCAGAAGAACTGAAACACAAATGTAAGCAAGCATCTAGTGCAACGTCCTCGATAACCATAAACGTTCTCATTTTACTTATTGCTAATATAGTACTATTCTCTTCACCTTATGAGCTTTATATCTTATGATCCAGTTTAGTGCTTCAGTATTTGACGGCTACGAAATAATGCGCTCTAATGCGAAATTCATACCATTGCGACGCGCTTGTGCTCGCGAACGGATACCCTAAAAAATTCGGTTTATTCTCACCGCGTCAGTCGCGCCGGGTGGTCTGTCTATTTTTCTTAGGTTTTTGTTTCCATTTACATTTATCTTTCATTTACTCGTTTGTAGTGCTATTAAGGTGTTTGGCGTTGGTCAGTTCACAGAGTGGAGTTGCTTAACATCTCTATTTGTCTATCCTTCACAATCAGTTGGTAGAGTTGCATTGCAGATGCATCCGTATAAAACTTTATGGTGGTTATATGGAGTGGTTTTGTACTTTGTCTACATGTACTTGTTGTAAATTAGAGCTCACGTTTGTTTTTAATGAAAGACTTGCTAATACTAAGGTAAAGTGCGTGGTTTTTAGGATTCGAGGAGAACGGCTCATCTTGGGCTTGCTGGTGTACCATCATCGCTGAAGAAAGTGTTTGGAGGGGTAATTGAAGTGTGCTTGTGTGAAGTTTTATAACAATGTCGGACGAAGGTGCAGAACGTGGTGGGAGCAGACGCGACGAAGAAGAACTTGCTAGCAAGCAACTCATTATTCATTACAAGAGGTACTATGTGGACGTGAAACAGAACAGCAACGGACGGTTCATCAAGATTGCCGAAGTAAGTTGCAGTTATAATTATGGATGCGAATATCCTCGCCTCTGTTTAAAAATGTTTGGTACGGCAAACTCTTAGAGACGGAATTGGACGCTTTCTTTGGGAATTTTTCTTTTCTTCAATATTGTGCTGACGTACTGTTGATTTAAATGGGGTGTCTTGAATCAAAGGATGAGCTCTAGGAGTTGATCAATCCCTGAGATCTGCGCCATACATTCGACTTCATTAAGCATCGTTGGAGGTGATTTAATGTATGTTTGGCCTTTACAATGACTCGCGGTGGCCTGCCGATGTATCGAGCTACCGCAGCTGTTCTTCTAGACAATTCTAGTACCAATTTGCCAATCTGGAAGGAAGTAAGGCTTTGTGAGCCTGGGCGCTGGGATCGATCCCATGTGTACTGCGGAGTACCTCCGACCACTGCGTTACACGCTCCGCAGTGTCTTGGTAGGTTCATAAAAGGCTCTCTATGTAAGCACGAACATTTTTACACCTCTGCACTTTTACACCACAAATTTGAACCTTATCACTTCTCTTCTGCAGCTTTGGAAAAGTTGGTGGCATTAACTTTCCTTTAAAGCTTGGAATTTCCACTTTATGAGAGAGCAGTCTGAGTCGCAATTATTTTATTCAACTTCATAAGAGCCTCAGTAGTAGAGATGGACACTGGGTCCTTCTTTCCATTAAGAACTTTTTAGTCAGATTTGGGGCACGTGTTGTGGATACCATTGGATGAAAATGGCATGAATTTCAGATTTTACCTAACTTATGAGTAACGTAAGGAAGTGGACGTTTCTCACTCACTTGGCCTGAACTAGTCGCTTGTATTGCAATTTTAGACTTTATTCACTGCCTATTCTTTTTTTGTGGTATGGTGTGATGTGAAGTACAACCACAAGGATGCTGAGGTATGAGCAAAACCAGGAATCTCGGATGGGCTTAAGCTTCAGAGGTTTGCTCATATCCCTATATGCTTGTGGTTATATTGCAATTCTCAGCAAATAATCCAAATTTTTTATTCGTAACTTTGTTCGTATCAGCGTGAATAGACTTCATTAGATAGGAAACTTTTAAATTTCACGTAAAGTATTTTGCTAACATGATATCACGCCCGTTCCTTTTTAAATTTTTTGCTGCAAATCTAAGGGTAGAAGTTTCTCAGTATTCGAGGTGCTGCTTTTTTATTGGAGACCTATTCTTTAAAGTTTTTTACATACTTCAAAGCAAATGTGTTGGTCAGAGGCGTGCTCTGAACAAGCTGAACGAGGAATGGTTTCACGCACCAGTTAATCCAGTTTGTTTAATTTCTGAAACATGTTTTTTGCTAAGTATCGGGGATTTTCAGGTAGAAAAAAATGCTGCTATTTCGGTCTTAGAAGTGCGGACGGATTGGTTGAAGATTTCGATATATTTTATCATTGTTGAAAACACACTTTCGCATGACACTTACCGTGACATTTTTGCTTCTTTGACTCACACAAGTGATTAAATGGTACAAAGCTTGTGTACACAAGTTGCCGTGTAAAATTCATATTGAGATCCATCTCAAAACTTGGAAAGGCATCCTTGTGCATATGTGGTGAATTGCACAGCAGGTTACTGGAGTTTTCTCTCCATTCGTTTTGTTGCCAACAACAAGTGCTCTAGCTTTTTTGGCTTTCCGATTTGGTATCGGTGATGGAAAATTGTGCAACCTGCACTTTACTGTTTGCCTTCGACTCGTAGAATTACTGGAAATTAGTGTGCATATAATCCTTCCATTTATTTGAAAAGGGCCTACACCGTATTCTCGAGTGTCAAGGTTGGTATTTCTATTAGCTTACATTTTGAGCCAATTTTGTGGCGTGAGCAAGAGTAGGATTATTTCCTGTAAAATGAGCTTTAGCTTAACGGTGCGTTTTTATCACAACTTTCATGTCTACTTTTGTTTCATATGGGAACGAATTACAAATCACGCCTTGTTTTAACTATGTCCGCTGCAACTCAGTTATGCGAACAGCTAAACGAGATGATAAAATTCAACGAAACTCTGCCAGAAGGAGCAGATATGAGTGCAGAAGTAAGTTGTGTGTGGCTTTTCCGAACTCGTTGATTAAAACAAGCATTTTTTTTTCCAGAATGGAACGCTGAAATCGGAAATGCTGGTGTTCGATGCAAGACGCTACTACCTTGATCTAAGGGAGAACAAGCGTGGACGTTTTCTCCGTATTGCACAGACTATTAATACACCGCGTATGAACCGCATTCAGGTAATAAAGAAACTGTGTCAGATGTGCTGTTTGTGAGAGAGACGTTTTTCAGATCGCTATCCCAGCCCAGGGGATGGGGGATATGCGCCACGCGCTTAGTGAGATGTTGGAGAAGTACGGAAAGGGTTATCTCAATGATGGAACTGTTAGTTTTATCCATAATGTTGGATTAATTCTAGAGGACTGCATTTCGTTTCCTATTAAGACCTTGTTTAATTTACGGTGCAGGATACACCAAAATCTAAGCAGCTGGCAGCGGATAGCAACAAGACTTTCTATTTCGATGTTGGCAAGAATGATCGTGGCACCTTTGTTCGTGTTACTGAGGTGATTTAGTTTTTATGCACGTTGATTTTAAAAGGAGGTTTATGTGATGAGTGAAAGAATGACCACTCTTCTTTAGCAGCAAGGTCATAGATGTATTTTTAAGGTGAATACTTACACCGTGTACTGTTCATATTTTCTTGGCGCGTTATAATTAAAAATTTCATGCAGAGTCGCCCTGAACTAAACAATTTTCCATTTTACTTGATATTTCCTTTTGAAATGGGGAGTTATAAAATTGTGAATTTTTCGAGTATATCCGTAGCAAAACGTCAGGACAGTACCATTTTTTTTTTCACAAGATGATAAAAAGTAGGACTTGAGTATATGAGGAGTGCTATAAAATGTTGGGATGTGATAACTATAGAGGAACTAGAATAATTGGTTCATTTTTAGAGTGATATATTGCTTTAGGAATGTCAAGCCTCATCGTTATAGTGAGAATGAGAGAATTTTATGTCTCTGGTTACTGGTGATAACTATAGACACACTTGTAGGCCAAACGACCATCAGGTTATCGTACGTCGATAACCATTCCACAGTCAGCTTTGGACAAGTTTCGTCACCTCCTTGATGACGTCATCGAAGATCTGGCGATGCCATCGACGAAGGCACAAGCGGGAGAAGGCGATTCGTAGGACGTTCAACTCAACACGATGCCGTTTTTTTTCATCCTTTTGAAGCACGGTCTACCTCGTTTTGCTTGCTATTGTTTACGGTTGTTCACTCTCAGAGGTACTAAATGCTGCTACTCGTTTTACCTCCCCGATGTTAACAACTATCCGGTTGCAGTAGTTCCATGTGTTTTTAGAGCTCTGTCATCACTTTGTTTTTTTTTCAAATGTAGATCTCGTGCGCTCAATCTGATCATCAAAAAGGCCCCTTTAATTGTGTACGAGGCTCTTCCTCCTTTACCGGAATCCTCATTTTTTTTAAACATCGCGTAGCTATGTATTTGTATGCAATACCTAAGATTCCTCTTCTCAAGCATTTTTGTTTTTACTGGTAGTGGTAGCGTTGTTGTGTTTATCGTAGTGTTATTATATGATAAATTTATAACTTCCAATGAAGATTCATTCAAACATCACGTCGAATCGCTTTTGAGCTATTGACAAAGAAGGTTAGTGTGTGTGGAAATAGGACGCTCTAGGTGTCAGTTTTAAGGTATGGTCGTGTTAACGGCTGAGAACACGGCATGTGTCGAAAATTCTATTCCTGGCCTTGATCGAGTTGTTGAGGGATGTCGACTTATGGTAAAAATGACAACACAGAATGAATACAGTACGTTTGAGAATAAATTGTTTGTGTATCTAATTTGTTTCGTCCGAAACTTTGTTTTAAAAACGGATTCGAGCGAGCTACCTTTAAGTTCAGGTTTTTCACAGGCTTCCATCCTGACATTTTTGCATGTTAATTCCCTTTTCCTTTTTCTCATGATTAATCACGTCATTGGAGGTCCATCGTCCAAACTTTAATTGGGACAGAATTCGACATTTTCATCTGGAGGACCAACCATCTAAGCCAGTCTCTCTAATCGCCGACCTAAAGAAAGCTTGATCCTAATTTTCCAGATAGTAGTTCGCTCTGCAAAAATTAACGCTGGTGACTGCTGTTTCATATCGTGGTAAAAAAAATGAAATCACCAAATGCAGTGAGGAGTCCATGTTTCGCAGTTGAAGGATAACATCTTTCTGGTATTTTTAGTATCACCTCCGACAATTTTTTAGGAGATGCGGAAGTACTTCTTGTACGGAACGACCCGCCTCGTTTTTACGTTCATTATATTGACTGCAATAGAAGGTAAACTTTATCCCTGAGGCTACGTTTTGTTCTGATTTTGCACAAATTGATTCCTTTCCACCTGCTTATCTGTTGAAGGTTAGACGAGTGGGTTGAAGCAGAAAATCTCAATCTCGATTCCTTACGAATGCCTCAAAAAGGAAAGAAAGGTGTTGTGCAGTCAGTGGAGAGGTTAGTGTGGAAGTTTTAGTGGTGCTAACATTTCTACTTAAAATAGAAGGAAATCCAGCACGTCTGCATCGGGGTCACCAGAGAGAGAACTGAGCAAGAAAAGTGCCGCTATGCGAAAAAGGAAAGCGCAAACTATGGACGAAGATAGTCAAGACGGGATGGGACAGAATGGTGGTAATACTGTTTTGCTCCTTTCCGAAAATCGTTGTGGTAGGCTTTACTTAAGAACAACCTGAGGTTTCCTACATTTTGTCATTTGAAATGACTCATGATTGAAAAAATTCTTGGATTGCGTTTTCAATAGTTTTTACCGTAACATTAGGGTCACCTGATTGACCCATAATGAAAAAAAAAGTGATCCAATCTCTACTATCCTTACACTGCAATGTAATTAGAACATCTTTTAAATTCCACATTCGAACTTATATTTAGTGTGTTATTTAAGTGTAGGTCTTCAGCTCATCAGATAACAATCGTCCATTCATATAGTAGGCTTTTGGAGAGCTGGGCTTATCAAAATGTCATCTAACTGCATTTATTAAACAGTTTCTTCTCTCTTTTAACATGCATAACACAGGAGTCACTTACGGCAGCTTATAGTTTGTGGTATGCCTAACAACCATGTTCGTCTACGTAAGCTTCAAAACCACCTTCACACACCTATAGTATTTTTATGCAAACTGAGGACAGATATCTCCGTTAATAGATAGAAATTTGGGGCGAGTATATCGTATTCCCCTTTAACCATTTTTGCAAAGCAGAATCAAAAATGGCTAGAAGCTGTAGTTTTGTATGGATGGAAGTGCAAGTACCAGAGATCTCAAAAACATCAAGGAAAACACAGCATACAATTTCTTCTTAAAATTGGTCTGAATTGTTCTTCAATGTTTTTGATTGCTTAATATTTATTTAGCACCAAGTCTTCGTGGTTCTATGTCTATGGTCGGTCATAGTGAGGATGCTCTGACAAGGATTCGCAATATCGAAATGATCGAATTAGGAAGGTTCGTAGTTCAGCAATGTGATCATCAACAAAAAAAGGATCCATAGACAGGCCCTACAAAGAGATGAAACCTCTTATAAAGTGACTAGTTCTCTCATTTTCCAAAGAATCAAAATGTTCCTCTGGCGATTTCAGGCACCGTATACAGCCATGGTATTTTGCGCCGTATCCTCAGCAACTTGTTCATCTTCCTTGTATTTATATCTGTGAATTTTGCTTAAAATATGTGAAGAGTCACACTTGTCTGAAAACACATATGGTGGGACGAAATTTAGTGTCGTATATTGGCACTAAAACTTCCAATTCATTGAGAAGTTGCAGAAAAAGTGCCATCTTAAACATCCCCCCGGAAACGAGATCTATCGCAGTGAGGAGCTATCGTTTTTCGAAATTGATGGTCGCAAAAATAAGGTAGGCTGTTTTTATTTCGTGTTTGTATATAATAATATGCATTGACATGACGTACTTACATATATAGAAAAGTTATTTTAGTCGTATGCTCAGAACTTGTGTTTGTTGGCAAAGTTGTTCTTGGATCACAAAACTCTGTACTACGACACTGATCCATTCCTCTTCTATGTATTGGCGTTTCTGGACGATCGTGGATTTCATATTGTCGGCTTTTTTTCCAAAGTATACAAGAATTACTTTGCAAGTTATATTTAGTTGTCACAGACATGTTTTAAAATGTTTTTTTCCTCTTAGGAAAAGGAATCAGCCGAAGAATACAATGTTGCTTGTATATTAGTGCTGCCACCGTATCAAAAAATGGGCTACGGACGGTTGTTGATAGAATTTAGGTATGCGTTTTCTGCCTAATAAAAATAGAACTCATGATCGGTTTTTGTAACGTTTGGTTGCGAGTGGAAGGGCGCGTGTACCGCAGTGGTCAGAGGAGCCCTACAGTACAAATGTGATCGATTCCTGCGCCCAAGGCTCACCCAGTCTTCCATTCCTCCGGAATCGACAAGTTGGTACCGGACTTGCCTGGGAAAATAACAACTTTGGCTCGCTTCATCGGTAGGCCACCGCGGGTCATTGTAAAGACCAGGTGTGCATTCAATCACCTCCAACGTTGTTTGTTGAAGTCGAATGCATGACGCATCCCTCAGGCATTTACCAATGCTATGAGCTTTATCCCTTTATCCCTAATTGATTGTGGGTGTACTGAAGCTGGCTGTGATTTCACTGAAATAGCAGTTAGTAAAACTGCCTTCGTACCATCACTCATGTTTATTGCGAGTGCTTTACGGCGCTTTGTGTGCCCATAATTCAGATTACATGCAGAAGTGAAAATATATGATGTCAGTAGTTGAATTTCGTAAAACACTTTGTATCAGGATCCCCATTTGGTCATTGAACTATATATCATTGGTAAATTGAAACAAAAAACTTCGTTCCGAATAACAAGTTAATCCTAACGGAAGTCGCTTTTCTTCACATCTATATCTTTGGTGGTTAGCTTCCCACTTTTCACAGAATACAAACAGTGCTTGGTACCAACGAACCAAAGTGTATACTTCAGCGGTTAATTCACCTTTTGCCCTTTTATTTATCATCATATTAAAAAGCATGGAATATTGAGCGTTTTCTAGGGACTTTTCTTTAATCAATATGTATTCTTTCTTGATAAGCTTGCACGAGGTTGATAAATATATTTATTTTCGGCTATTAAAGCCGAAAATAAATATATTTATCAACCTCGTGCAAGCTTATCAAGAAAGAATACATATTGATTAGTCACACCGAGGTTCAAGGAAAGTCGGTTTCGAAATACTTTTCTTTAAATTTAATAATGAGTGGTAAAGATTTAAATTAGGTGTTTGAAACTTGAGATTTAAGGTAAGGACAATTTTAATTCCATTAATCATAATGTATCATGGTCCTTAATACTTTCTACTTGGTATTTTTCTGTTATTTTGCCCACTGATGAACTTTTTTGAATCGTATATAGGCTGAGCCATTAGTGAAAAGCCATATTGCTAGAAATTTCTTTAGATATTCTGTTGCGGTTACAACTTATTTTGACAGATGTTATTTTCTAGCTACGAACTTTCCAAAGTCGAAGGAAAGACAGGCTCTCCAGAGAAACCACTTTCTGACCTTGGATTGGTATGTCTTTTAAATTGCGTTTATTCAATCTTAGTATTGAATTAGAAGAATTTCTTACTACTTTCTCTGCATATACCAGAATTAAACATAGTTTTCTTCTTTGGTAGTAGATAACCTTTGAAAATATTCTGTTTATTTCAATTAACCTTAACCGAAATAATGGAAAATGTGGACGTTTCTAACGTCGCCTTAGTAGGTTACTGTGACCACATTTTCTTTTGTATCGATATTGGAACTCTTTCATGTTTTACATGCCCAATACACCCTGGGCCTGCTTTTTTTTTTAAATGACGATGCAGTGTTTATACTCTTGGCGAATCGTGCGTTATCAGCACAGTTGTATATAGTGGTCTGCTTTGAATATTTCAACTGCGGTATGTACTCATTCCATAATCTAGGCATTGTTTCCATCTAACCAATAGAGCTGGCTGAGGTGTTATTTGAATGATTTGTCTGCGCAGTCGGATTTGGTGCTGTATGTGCCGGTAACCTTTTGGAAGAAATCATTCAAGTGTTCTGTGGAGAATCCATCTGATTCTCTGCATAATTGAGGTGTCAACCCAACCCTCAGCAGCAAGCCGCTGGGTTGACTTCACAGTTTCTCCTCCATATCCATTATCGTGTTCGTTGAACGCTTAAGAACACGTGTGATATAATGTCTGCGATTGAAGGACCGTTCATCTATTTGTTTTCCATGATGTGATGTCTTTCTTTTTTTTTTTCAATAAACTCGTCTTCCTTCCCACTTACTCGAGGTTCTACGCTTCCCTACATCTTTGAGCTGCCCAATGAATCTCGTATTCTGTTCCGTTGAAACTTATTGAAGATTTAGGAATGTCGGCATCAGAATAAAACATTGGTAGGAATTTGAAATCATCGCAATGCGGCGGTAAATAACACTGGCGAGTTGTCGGATTCTTTTGCATACGATTTGGTGGAAAAGCAGCATTTTATTGGTGCGCATGTGATATTAATCTGCTAGAGTTTCTACGTAGGACTGTTACAGTTCTTCATCGACGACTGTGATATGGTGGCATTCATTTTGAAGCTGAGAAAACATTTTACATAGTCTAAATGTTTGAAAAAAAGTAGTATATGGTTGCACGATAATTTTCTTGAAAGGTTTATAGCACTCATTCAATGAGAAAACCGGATACTGATTGTGTAAAGCCGTTTGGTTTTCGCCTATAATTCGAACGAAATTGGACGTGAAAGTAGGCTGTACCCCCTTCTCCACTCTTTATTGCAGTATAGATCGCGTAGACGTTAGAATTCAGAACATTTTATTCCTGCAATGTGTTTTATGGTTTGACAGTTATGGAGCAAGGAATGATTCAAGTGGAACTTCGCCATTATTAATTACATAAATATAGAGTTGAGAGCATTCCATCTTCGTTAAACGGATACCATAACGTAATATACCCGCCAACTTGTCGACCGAATTCCTTAGATCGGTCTTCTTCTTAGCTGCTACCAACGGGTTTTCTTCTTATACTACTGTGGAGATCCCGGAAGGATTCTGTGTAGCTGGCATTTATTGCCAACCTTTTTCAGCTTTTAAGAGCCGGATTTGGGTTCAGACTTTTCTTGTCGAGCAACACCTTGGAGAAGTGGTGGTGCTTTCCAAACTAACTGAATGATGAAACAAAGTGCTTTGGTATGGCTTGGTTAGGACCCTTCTGTATCTCTCATTTGTATAGGAAAGGTACTTTATCGAGAGCTTTCTTGTCATCCACGACTTAAGTTGTTCTTCTTGGAACATGACGAAGGGCTTTATCAGGTTATAGATCAATAGAGTATCCACACTGAGAAAGCTGTCATCTTAGCTGGCCAAAAGGGTAGAGGGAAAGCTGGATGTTGGTCATATTTTGACAATTCGACTTCATCAAGCACCGTATAGGTAGTTGAATGCAAATCTTACCTATACAGTGATTTCCGTTCGCCTACTGATGAGTCAGTGTTTTTATCACTATGGACAAGTCTGGTACTAACCTGAAGAGATGCAACGCTTTATGGGCCCAAGACTTGGCAGTGGAATAACGACCGATCTAGCGTGTATTTGTAGGGCATTTCGAATCATTGCGCTACACACGTCTTTGTGTCATCAAAGCTGATAAAGAGTGATAACACTACGTTTCAAAGAAGCACCATCATCTGCCTACAAGGGCATGATTGGTTTTCTCATAAAATGATAATCATGAAAATCGTTAACCTAGTAAGACGGTTTCCATTATGGTAAAGATCACACCACGCAGTTTGTGGATATTTGCCTTTTTGCTCTTGGACTTTTATTTTAATGGCAATCGTGAATTTAGAATGTTTCGTGACATCAAGAAAGCAGTGACAATTAGATCTTGAGGAGAATGTTTACTTACTTGATTAATTGGACGTCCTATCTTCACTGATTGTGCGAGTCCCAGCATAATTTTCATTTTCTCCGAGGTTTGCTAGATTAACCATTGTGGTTCCCTGGGGTACCGAGGTAAGCGCAACCTGAAGTCATTCTCAGGTGGTCACGACCCCAGAAAGCCGCCGCTCTTGTGGATAAGAAGTAGATTTGCCGCCATGCGATTAGTTTGATACTAGGGCAGTGCTGATTCCTGCTATTGGTTTTCTCTTAGCTGGGTTTCTGAATGGGGACTCCTCAGTTTGAAGGATGTTGGAGAAATGATCGCCTCACTGTTCGTCGCAGCCCGATACCCAGGAACACTTCCTAACCACGATGAGGTGTTAAACCGTTAGGAGGAGAAGAATGTTTAGGTGCTATAAATGCATAACTAGAAGAAGTCTGTATGGCGTTTCGTGGATGCTTTTCTTTTGGTCTGATTTCGATGACGTTCTACGCAGCTCGAGATTTAGCTACGTCTTATCGGTTGTCACAGCACCTATAATGAGAATGCGAGGCAAAATCGTTTAATATGCAGGTACTGGCTCTGGGTTGTGGAACGCTGGTATAGCTGTCATTTTACAACCAGCTTGCTACTATGGCGATTTCTGGTGTTAGTTTAGTCTTTTTTTTCCTTCCAGATAGGAATATTGAACTCATCGGCTTCACCCACACCACTTAAGTGTAGTCCGCCTGCTAGGACACCTGTGAATATTTTTAAACCACAACCAAGTCCGTATTTTATGTATTCCATGAAATCCAATCAGATTTCAGTTGTCGTACCGTAGTTTCTGGTCTGCAACAATAATTGAGAAACTTATGCGTTTCAAAGAGGAAGAGATTGCATCAGGTGAAGAACGAGCCATTTCCGTCATGGATCTTTCTCAAATGACATCAATTCGGAAGGAAGATGTTATTTCTACATTACAAGTAAGCGAATAATTCGCGCCGGCTTTATTTTATACTTGCTTAACTTAATAAAGCTTAACAAATTTGCGACGATACATGTATGACTCCTATTCATCTGCAAATAACTTATCTTTACAGTCATAAACCAGTCAGCATTAAGCGAACTCTATTGATTTAAAATCTTAACCTTTTTATTTACTGCCTATTCTTCTTAATGACAGGGTACATTGCAAAGTATAGCTCGTATAATGATGAGATAACTCCAGACCGCAGGTTTGCAAATATCTAGGCATTATACGAGTTCTATTGATTTAAATAATATTGATAGTTAGTAGTTAATATTAGTTAGATTAAAATTGACAACTACTGTGCTTGGGCCGGCTTTCCAAAATTTTGCATCTTTAAGTTACTTTTTTTTGAAACATTGAATTTTAAACGAATTTGAAGTTAAAATAACCACATCTCTCACCTGTAATCCCATCAGTCATCGTATAACTGAAGCGGGCACTATTGGACCTAATTTGCTTCAGTCGTGCACGAAGCTGGTCAGTTGTATCCACTTGTTCGAGATAATTGAAGAACCGCACATTTTGGGTATGAAGACCTTTATTTTTTGCTATTTTTAGGGTTGAGTTAGCTACAGATAGCCCAGTTGGCTCCGCAATGGCACAAATTCATTCCAAATTGGTGTTGCAAATGGAAATGTAATTCTCAATGCGGGTAACCATGCTAGCATGCACTGCTACTTAGTGTTGAATTTCGCGGTTTGGTTTCTTCATAATCGCCTATACATCCTTAGGCCTACTTGAGGTTATTATGAAGTCTCTATTATGCTAACATTTCGGCCTTTTCGCCTTCTGCAGAGCGACGTGAATCCGAGTTACCGTCGGGCGTTTTCGTGGTGTGAATGTTCGATGTCACACTGCGTTGAATCGCCTTGAGTGGAGCAAGGTTCGAATGAGGTTTCCTCACTCGGCGGTGCGAATAGCGATAACGACTGATTTCGACCAATTAACTCGGATCAATCCAGCTCTGAAGAAGGCGAAGGAATCGAGACGTTAGCCGAATAAATATTTGTGACACTGCTTTTTTTATGATCAAACACAAAGTTGTTATCACAGCATTTATCAATACGCAACGTCTGACATTTCGGCGGTTTTTGCTTCTTGAGAGCCTGAAAAGGTCAAATTGACATTTAATCTACTCAACCAAACACTTTTATAGCCTCAGCAGACAAACTTATTACATTAGTTTTCATTCGTATAATGAGCACGTTCTTTTAAACACTTATCGGGTTGTTGTTTGTAAGTTTTCTTGTTATTTGGTAAAGACCAGCAGCACAGAATCTTAAATTAGCGAGGATTGTGCCTGACTCAAGTCAAAAAATCAGCCTAAGTTTTGGTGCTAAGCCACGCATGGCAAAATATTTACCACTATGTCTCCGTGTCCTATGAACGTCTAGTGAAGCATTTGGCTTCACTTTAAATTTACCGACTAGTTGTTGTTTCATAAGGATGCAGAGTGATTACCCGTTTCGCCAGCGTATTAATCTCCACACGCTTAATAAGTGATTTGGTACAGCAGACCTGAACTCTTGCAATCGCGGTTTCTCCCGTTAGGGCATATTATGTAACTTTTCATTGTACATAGACATTTGTATAGGCGGTTACGAATTAGCTGACGTTTTAGAGTGTCCGGTGGTATTTCTACTCTATCACTATTACCCAATTCTTTAGACTGGCCCTTCTCAAACGTGTTATAACTGACTGGAAAACCTGTATCACCTACCGTCCCGTTGATTGTCGAGTAACTCGAGCGTGCCAGTAAATCTTCCGTTTTTCCCTGTCGCATGGAAGAGTAGCTCAGTCGGTTCTACTCGCTCTAGGGACTCGTTGAGCATCATACCTCTGCTCTAGGCTTTTCGTGAAGAACTCTGACCATTCGGTCGGTGGTCTTCCTGCAGTACATTTGACATCGCGAGTAATCCAGTCACTTACGGCTCTTGTCCATCTGTTGTCGTTCATACGCATTAGGTGTCCTGCCCATCTTATCTTCGACAGTGTGACGTAAAGAACAGCATCTCTAATTTTGATCGTTGATGCAGGTAGGAGTTTCGGACCCCTTCCCTTACCTGTGTGACACGGGATACTCCTTGCATACTGGAAGACCCATAAACAACAAACCGGTGAGTGTTTAAAAGATGTTTGTTATGCGAATGAAAGTTTGTGCGTTATGTCTCCTGAGACTATGAAAGTGTATGGCTGAGTAGACTGCATGTCAGTTTGACCCGTCTAGGCTCAGAAAAAGGCGAAACCACCAAAACGTCAGTTGTTTTGTATTAATAAAAGCTGTAATACCATCCTCGTGTTTGCTCATCAAGAAAAACATTATTTATCAGCACCAAGGTTAAAAGAAACTTAGTCTTAGTGCTTGCTACATGTTTATAACAACCTCCTCTAGTTTGGTCACCTAGAAAAAATATTGATTTTTTATCCATAGATCGAAGGAGAGTCGCTTTTAGAAATATTGATACGGTTTTTTATATTTCTAGTATAAATGTGGAGTAAGAAACAAAACATGTTCTTCAGTAGAGTAGTAATCTCTTATCATGGCTAGCTGGTTTTCTTGAGTTTCCCTAGGTTAAGAACGACTTCGATATTTTCATACAGAAGCCCAACTAAGAATGAATTAGGAATCGCTGCCATCCTAGCAGCGACCTTGAAAACCCTTAGCATGGCTTGCAAAAGTTCAGGGGATGGAATTTTGCTCAATAGTTAAAGTTTCAATCAGGTGCAATTTTCGCTTGAATCGACGCGGTTCTTCTGAAGAACTTGCCATTCAGTTGTCCTGCCTGGGTAAATAGATGGACCGTGTGCAGATTTCGTACGGTTTCGACACTCCTATGGGTATCATTGTTTCCCAAGCGTCATCTATTATTTGTGAATTATTCGCGCTCATATGTGGCTTTAGCTGCGTATGAAATCTTCTCTCACCACCCTGTTGAATTCTGGTTGAACGTGGTTTTCTGTGGAAATCGGAGTGTTGTGAGATCGTCAGGACATGAATCTGTTGGTCTTTGTGGATTAGAGGGTAATTTATTACCTTCCGCTTTCGATTCTTTTAGAACAAAGGCGATTCCTATGATGGCAGCGGATCATTTGATTTGGAGAACGATATGGCATATCGAATCCCATTCATGGTCGAATTTTTGCATTGATAGCGTAATTTCCACTAAAACTTGGTTATCATAGCCTTTTAATTTTAAACAGAGGGAATCATCTAATGCAAGCATTCAGTCTTGGCAAGTTGATTACATCAAGGAAATAATTTTCTGAAATTGCTGAAATCTTCCCAAAACCGAGGCATGTACAACCAATTATGGCCAACAGAAAGGTCCAGTTCTCTTGCACGCAACTCACGAGCGCACATAGCACAATTAACGCTGAAAATATTGGACGAGTTGTGTGGCTGTAAAACTGCCTCACTCACCATACTTATCGGACTTCATGCGAACCGATTATCACTGAATTCGAGCATCTCGACAGCTGATACCTAGGAATATTTTTAACAACCGAACTGCTGCTAAAAATTTCCTCTGGGAATTTGTTACTTTAAAAATCTTATGCTACAGGAATAAAGGAACCGAGATCTGTTTGGTAGGGAATATTCCAGTGATTTCCGTTTTGATTACAAGGTTGTGTTTGAGCACGGTTATAATGGTTTAGAGCTCATGATCCGAAACTACAATTACTTTCCCACAGAACTATTCTTGGAACAAGGCTTTAAAATCTCTTCTAATATATGGATTCCTTGTATTCTATTTATGAAAGAGTTAGTAAAGTAGTAGTCATCGAAAAGCCAACACCGTTGCGAATGCGTTTGATTGACAGTATACGTTTGGCGTGCAGATTCATTGTGAAAACATTGTTGGACAAAAGTGCTAAAGGTGTTATACGAATTTCATGCCAGATTCCTTCCTTAATCGTATACAGCGGTATGATCTATTACAAAGCGCACAATTTCATATCTGACTTTTTTTTCTCACGGAAACATAATTACAATGAATTTGACAATAAGTTTTATCTGCAGAGCACCTATTATCGACAGACATTTCTTCAACTTTAATTTCAATTCTTCGTAGTAATTTTCAGTTCTATTACCTTCTTCCTGTTGTCACTACAATCTTACAGGACTAAAAAACTTGTTTACAAGTAGTGCTAAAAGACGTTCTCTAGGTACCATCTACACAATAGAACCTGTTCAGGTCTTAAGCATACCTGTTGTTTGGATTTTTATCACAAAACTGCTACTGTAAGAAAAGTGAAGCCATTACTGCAGTTCACTTGTATGTTTCAGCATCTCAATTTATACAAATACTACCGAGGACAATATGTGATAGTCATTACTGATGAATTAAAATCGGCCTACCGACGTATGTGTGAGAAAATCAATGTGCGCATCGACCCAACGAAACTAAAGTGGCAACCAAAGGACTGGAGTAGACGTAAGATATGAGGACTTAATTTGACACAGATTCTTGATATTCTGCCATGAGATGATCTCCTGAATGATTCACGAATTCTTATATAGTTTTGTATTAGGATAAATACCTTATTTTCCTTCTGGTAAGTCGTTACAGTGCTTACATTAAATTTTACTGGGTTGTTAGAAATAGCATTAAGATGAGGATGTTCGCTTTTACACGAATTGATGTTGTATCCGTTGCTTCAATTATGAAGATTGTATAAATCAGGACAGACGTTGTACAGTGATACCTAGTATATTGCGCTTTAGAAACGTTTCTGTAGGCTTGGCTTTTTTTTTTTTTTTTTTTTTTTTTTTGAGATATGGCTTCTAAAATATATTGTATAAGCCATTTGCAAAGACCTCTATCTCTCTTCAAGTGCATTATCGGCATCCTTTAATTTGGCTTCTTTCTGCGATGTACATAATAAAGATGGCATCGTATTTGTTAGTTTTATGCTAAATTGTACTCTACACAAAATGATGTCGTTGGATAGTAGAAAGCAGAAATAGAAAAGCTATAGTTACGTAAAGACTACTCATGCCATGTAGAGAGGTTATTCTCTATCTGTCTGTACAGTTTATACATACTGTCTGTTGGGTGTATATCGTTTGCCATATGTTATCCCCGTTTGTACATTGAAATCACTCACTCTATGGATTGTATGAGACTACGACTAGAATATGCATTCTTTTTTGATAAGCTTGCACGAGGTTGATAAATATATTTATTTTCGGCTAACGTTTCGACGTCTTCGTCT